CCATAATAACAATAATAATAATAAAATAATAATAATGAACAACAAAGTTATGCGATTTTTTGCACTGGCAATGGTTAGCCTCTTCATAATTCACTTCCTCTTCATTGGAAGGAAATCGTTTAAAAAACGCTACATGAATGGAAAAAATATGAATAACAACAACAATAATAATAACAATAATTATTATTATGGTAATGATGATGATGCCATCAACGACGACGACGATTGGGATGATGATGAGAACAACAACAACAACAATAATAATAATAATAATAATAATAATAACTATGTCATAATTATAAAAGAATTTATAGAGGTTAGCCACCTTCAATGCCGAAATTTCACGAAACCGACCAAAGAATCGATAGTTATGGAAAATGTAAACTGGCAAATTCAACAATTCGAAATGGAAAAATTGTTTCTCTATTCAGCGTTCTATGACGATCGGCCGCACGGCGGTAACTTACCGTACGTTCGAGTCATCGGTATTTTAACGTTTCACCAAGACACCAGATATAATTGCCATTTGTGGTATTCGCATGTAAGAAAACCGTTTATAATACCGGCTGTTATCAACGAGACCGGTATAAATCGGTATCAGTTCGAGAAGGTGTCGTATAGGGAGTACACGTTCTCTTGTCAGCTGCCGTTCGTAATACCTTTCGTACCGAACTACGTTTCTGTGATGTTCGCCGATGCCGACTGTACAAACTACACAAACTACATACCAATTTTTTACCGAGAACGGAATTTAAACCCAGACATCGAATTCGGTTTATGCGTCTGTAACGGGCATGGTTTCTTCCAACCGGAATACGTTGTAGAGTGGATAGAATTCTACAAATTGATGGGGGTCAGAGAGTTCAACCTGTACAATACAACCTACGAAGGGCTCGACCAGACTCTAAATTATTACGTAGAAAGGGGTGAATTGAGAGTTTCTCAACTGAGGCACCCACTGGGGAGAGAAAGGGGCGACCGAGGGAGAATTAGAAATTTGAGGATCACCGCATTGAATGACTGCATGATGAGGAACCTGTACATGTACAAATACTTGGTCGTGCTCGATTTGGACGAAAATGATTTCCCGGAGAAAAAATTAACAAATTATCATCAAATCATCGAAGAGGCCCCGAAAATTCTTAATAAAAATTACGAAATTTTATCATTCTCATTCCATCAGGCCTACTTCTTCCTCACATTTGAACCAGATTTAATACCGCCCCGGTACATGAAATTCTTAAAAAATTGGAACCGAACCATGCCGAACGGTGATTATTGCGGTTCGAAATTCGATCTCAGACCGATACACTGTTTTTAATTGATGAATCATTTATGTTACGTCTCCTTTACCGCTTAAAAATGGCATTGTAAGTAATTTCGTATAGAAGATTTTAGGATTAACTCATCATTATCCCCATTTTGGGAAGTTTACTGGAAGGAGACAATGTAAGGGTTTGTTCGAGAGAAGACCGCTGACGATACGGCCATTAAGTTTGGAAGATCTCTCCCCTAAAATGTTCAGCATTCATTGAAACAGTTAGGTCTTTTGAAAAAGTGATAAATAGTGTCTTTTATTGATTTTATTTGAAAATGTATGTATATAATTGTTATTATTATTTTAAATTTGAAAAATCCAAAATAGTATCCATGCGTACTTATGATCGAGTGCTTGTTTGTCATGCTCTAAATAATAAAATCATTCACAAATGCGGCACGCTATTTGTAACATCTATGAGAACTGCATTAGCATCAGATAGTGTATTGTTGTTCTCTCTATCTCTCTCTCTCTCTCTCTCTCTCTCTCTCTCTCTCTCTCTCTCTCTCTCTCTCTCTCTCTCTCTCTCTCTCTCTCTCTCTCTCTCTCTCTCTCTCTCTCTCTCTATCTATCTATCTATCTAAATAGCTATCTTTTTCTCTGTTTTCCTCTTTCTGTCTATCTATTTATATACACATGTAAATAAATAGTCAAATTTATATAGAAAAATAACTGAGTGATTTTGAATGAACAAATGGATGAACAAACAAAAACAATGAATGAATGAATGAATGAATGAATGAATGAATGAATGAATGAATGAATGAATGAATGAATGAGTGAATGAATGAGTGAGTGAATGAATGAATGAATGAATGAATGAATGAATGAATGAATGAATGAATGAATGAATGAATGAATGAATGAATGAATGAATGAATGAATGAATGAATGAATGAATGAATGACTTAAAACTTGAATGAATGATAGTCAAACTCTCATTGTATTCTCATTTAAATCTGTTTCTTTGATGTGCCTTTTACCACTTTCAAAGCATTCGTTGGATAAAAATATGGTTCATTTATTTTTAACTTTTACATATTTCATTTTTAGAAACTGAAAAATAAACTCATTAAAAAACTATTTTTAATGAATTACTAAGTAATATATAATATAATAATTAGAATGATAATTTTATGCAACTACCAGCAAAAAAATATATATGCAAAAACTATGCAAATGGGCAGAGGACTGGCAGATGGAATTCAACACTAACAAATGTGCAGTCATACACATGGGAGCGATCAACAAGGCAGACGTATTCAAACTTGGAGAGACACCACTAAAAAATGTAGAGGAGGAAAAGGATCTAGGGGTAATAATTCATCGGAATGGTAAAGTAGCGTGCCACATGAAGACAGGTTAAAAGTTTGTGGATTGACAACATTAGAAAGAAAAAGAAGAAGAGGAAATTTGATTCAGGCATACAAAATCATCACTATGAAGGAGAATTTGGAATCAGCGAAATTTTTTAACCATTAAGATGAACAGTAAAACATGGGGCATAAATGTAAGATCTTTAAAAAAACTCTGGATCGATAAAGCAAACATTTTTTAGCTGCAGAGTTGTCATCAAGTGCAACAAACTGGGAGATAGAATAACATGCGCAGAAACAACTAACAACTTTAAAGCACACTTGGCAAAAGTAGGATGTGTAAGAACATGCTTGTGTGTACGTGTAGGTTTTTTTTTGTTTGTTTGTGTATGTGCGTGTGTATTTGTATGTGTGCGTGTGTATTTGTATGTGTGTGTGTGTATGTGTATGTGTAAGAGTAGTACATATTATGATTTATAAATATTTTCGAGGCACACTCCAGGCCGCTAATTTTTGTTTTTACTGTTACTGTATTCGACAACTACAACAACAACAACAATAATAATAATAATTCAACAACTACAACAACAATAATAATAGTAATGGGAACATTCTTTTATTTAATCAAGTTTTAAATTTTATTTAATTTAATTTTACCGAAAAATAAAATCCAAATGGAATCCATCGAAAATTATTAATTATATATTAGAGTGTGAATAAATAAAATGTAAAATATAATGTACGATCCTCTCATGCTCTCTCATGAGAGCAAGTACTTGAAAGTAAAAAAGATATATTTAAAATCGGTTAAGTAGTGTTTCTATCACAATATATATAGACTATATGACGAGCTAATTACCGCGTTAATCAATTTTCATTAAAAGACTTCGGCCATAACATTTTAAACGAAGTTAGATTGAATTTGTTATAGAAACCAACAGGTAAACCCAATATAATAATAATAATAATAATAATAATAATAATAATAATAATAATAATAATAATAATAATAAAGGTTCCTTTTCTTAGCCGCAAGATCACTTGAAACTTTGGCGACGTATTTCATGTCTCTTGTAGACTTGAAAAATGATAATAATAATAATTATATCTTTATTATAAATGTTATTTTTGTTGTTGTTATTAATTATTAATAATTATAATTATTATCATTTATTATTAAAAATTATTTTGTTTGTTTCGTTTTAATGATATATAACTTTCAATCGCTTGGATGAATCTTGACTGATCTTGAAATATAGAAAACTATATTATTAATTATTATTATTGTAAGAAGAAGTAGTAGCAGTAGTAGTAGTAGTAGCTACAGCAGTAGTAGTAATAGTAGTTGTAGTAATAGTAATAGTATTTGTAGTAGTAGTAGTAATAGCAGTTGTAGTAGTAGTAGTAATAGCAGTTGTATTGTAGTTGTAGTAGTAGTAGTAATAGTAGTAGTAGTAGTAGTAGTAGTAATAATAGCAGTTGTAGTAGTAGTAGTAGTATTGTAGTTGCAGTAGAGTAGTAGTGATAGTATTTGTAGTAGTAGTAGTAGCAGCAGCAGTAGTAGTAGTAGTTGTTGTTGTTTTAATAGTAGTTGTATATAATAATAGTTGAAGTATTAGAAGTATTTGTTGTGTTGAATTATTCCATTCTTTTTTTTTGATATACGAGTCTACATAATGGGGCTGAAGAAATATTCCATTGTGATGGAAAAATATTCATCATTTTAAATACACAGCAAACAACTAGCGTCGTCGTTCATTCCCTCCTTCATTCATTCATTCATTTTTTCGTTTATTTCTTCATTCGTTCGTTCGTTCGCTCATTCATTCATTCATCCATTCATTCATTTGTAAATTATCGATTTAATAAAAAATAAACATACCATTATGTCAGGAGGAAAGTAGAAAAAGAAATTCGCATTCGTCTCTCATTTATGTTTTAATGTATGTGTTTGTATGTGTGTGTGTCTATGTGTGTGTGTCTATGTGTGTGTGTCTGTGTGTGTGTATTTGTAGTGTAAATACTATTAAGACATCGTCAATGCATTTTCATTGTTTATTTTTTTTTTAAACTAGAAATATTTCTACCTCTATGTGTATGATGCCAAACCAGAAAACAGACGTATTATTAATGGTTCTCTTTATTTACATGAATTAATTTTTTTTTCAAGTAATTTGCTTTTTCAATTACTTCAAGTTTTTGCTTTTCAAAGTTTAAAAAAAAAATTTAAATGCAAAATGTTTACAGACTCTATAAGATGACATTAGTTACATCTATGTACAGTGCACGCACATACTAAAAGCACAATCAAACAAAGAAACAGAAAAGGTAATAGATACATTTTTAAAACAAAAACAGAGTGATTAATTGACCGCAGAAAAAAAAAATTAAATATTCAGTTATATTTATTCATCCATTCTTTCATTTCTTCATTCATTCATTCGCTCGTTCATTCATTGGTTCGTTCATTCATTGGTTCGTTTGTTCATTCAATCATTTATGAACACTTCTGAATAACCGCGAACATATACATTGATTGACCAATTCAGTAATTTAACCTAATGCTAGCGAGTTATTTAACTAACTAGCTAGCCACTAAGCTCAACAGCCTGGCTACCTTATGAACATTCTCGACAATAGAATCCTCAAACTTTAGCATCGAGTCATCCTTAATTTTGGAAGTGTGCAGTTGCGTGCACGTTTCCAGTAGCAAGAACTTACCACAAAATCGGTAGTGGTGGCTCAGTGCGACAGCTTCAGATACGAAAATCGACAGCGTCCCATTGTAGAAAGGCAGTCTCGTGTAACAGTAATGGTTCATGAGGTTGTAACAGTACAAGGGGCTTAGTATTGATTTGGAACCGGTATACGGTGGTAACGGTTTCGTTCGGTGTAGGAACCGTAATGTTCGGAATTTGTTTGATTTGTATTTTTCTGGATTGAATGAGAGGAAGTAGTAGGTGTTTAGGAATCCGTAAGACATCACCGGCTTGTCCTTCTTACTGGCCGTCCTCTCTGCACTCACGAGTAAGTCGTGGAAATTTGTGATGTTGTCACGCGGTACGATAAACTCGTCGTGATCGATTACTACCAAGTACTTGGCTCGGTACATATTGCGCATCATGCAGTCGTTCAGAGATACGGATCTCAAATTTCGAATTTTGTTTTGCTTTTTTGTATCCCTATACTGAATACCGAAAGGGTGCGGTATTTGGGACATGATTAACGAGCCTTCTTTTTCGTAGAATTTGAAAAGAGACTCGACGCCAGAGTAACTTGTGTTGTAGAGGTTGAACTCTTTGACGCCCATCATTTTGTAGTATTCGAACCATTCGAGTAATTGATACGGATCATACCGATCGTGACCGTTCGCCACACAGATCGAGAACTCGACTAACGGTTTTTCGTGGAATTCATAAAAAATCGGTAAGAATGTTGTATGGTAGAATAAGTCCGTGGCGTTTTTGCTGTCGTGGTTGTTGTTGTTGTTGTTGCTGTTTTCGTTGCTGCGATGGTTTAACGTTTTGTGTTGTTGTTGCGGCTGCGGTTGTTGCTGAAGGTGAAAATTGTTGTTCATAGAGTTGTGAGCTTTTACCGGGAATCGCTCCGTCGGTAATTTGCACGTAACATCCCTACTTAACGATACGTACATAGGTATTAACTTCTCTACCTCTTCATTGATATTTAGTTTATTGCAGACTAGCAATGTCTTACCCTGCTGAACGTGCATATTCTTTATTTTAACCTCTCCGTCGTTGCTGTTAAAAAACTCCTGGCAACTCGAATTATACATCTCACTCGCTATCACTCGATCACCAGTGATGTGCAAATACTTGAACGGTAGCTGACACGATACCGTGTACTCGTACAACGTACCGACACCGTCATAACCGAATGTGTTCATACCGGTTTCTCGCACATCTCCTTCCACGACTAGGGCTCTATTGGGATATTCGTCGAACCAGACGTGGCAGTAGGCATTCATTTGCTTTGCGTTTGTGGCCATCGCCAATACTCGAATCGTCGGTAATATACCGGCAAGTGGCCGGTCGTCGTAGAACGCCGAGTATAAGTAGACTTTTTCTGTATGGTTGAAACAAAATTTTATTATTATTATGATTAATATATTGATTATTTTAACACAATATTATTATTATAATTATTATTATTATTATTATTATTATTAGCAGTAGTAGTAGTAATTGTGGTAGTAGTAGTGGCTTTAGAAGTAGCAGTGGTATCAACATTATATAACACAACCACGGCCACACACACACATACACACACAAACATAAACACACACATTATATAACAACCATGCCTACACACACACACACACACACACACACACACACACACACTTACACATTATATAACAACCACGCCCACACACACACACACACGCACACACACAACAACAACAACAACTCAACAACAACAAATAGGTTCAAATCTCAAACATCACAACTAACCTCTCCCGTGATGTTCGACCTGCCAGGTACCTTGCACCACGTCCAAATCTTGTGGCTGTGGTGGTAAAGTATGGGGACACTGCAGGACACTCATCTCAATGAGTCTCTTAACCACAGATCTTTTTATCGATGTTAAGAGTGGTTTTTTCTTACTGTCGTCATCGTCGTCGTTATTATAATTATTATTATAATTAGTATGATTATAATAATTATTATTATTATAGATATTATTATTATAAATATTATTATTATAAATATTATTATTTATGCTTTCGTTGTTGGAATACTCCATAAGGGATTTCATTGGCCATTGTTGGATGAGGTACAAGAGGCAGCCATTGAGGACCGCTATGTAAATGAACTTTTTGTAAGAAATATTTCTCATAATTTATTCATGGCATTTGCTGCTGTGGTTATTATTATTATTATGACTTATTAATATAATTATAATTATAAGTTATAATTATTAGTAGTAGAGGTAGTAGTGGAAGTAGTAGTAGCAGCAGTAGTAGTAGTAGTTGTTGTAGTTGCAGTAGTAATAGTAGTAGTAGTAGTAGTAATAGTAATATTAGTAGTAGTTGTTGTTGTTGTAATAGTTGTTGTAGTAGTAGTAGTAGTAATAGTAGTAGTAGTAGTAGTAGTAGTAGTAGTAGTAGTAGTAGTAGTAGTAGTAGTAGTAGTAATAGTAATATTAGTAGTAGTTGTTGTTGTTGTAGTAGTTGTAGTAGTAGTAGTAGTAATAACAGTATTTACACTATCGGTTTTGATAATATCTTAAACTGTCGCATAGTCAATCGATTATTATTATTATTATTCATTTATTTATTTAATTATTTATTTATTTACATATTTATATACATTCAAACTTCCGAAAACCAAAAACTACAAAAAACAGAGCGAATATTATTTTAACGTAATCTCTTGCTCTTTCAAGACTTACTTAACGTGCAAATGTAAGCTTAAAGCTTTATAAATATATATATATATATATAAGTTTGCTTTCGAATAACCTGATTTATTTATCTAAAATAGAAATCCAAATGAGTGAATAAAGAACATAAATAAAATCAATTGAAACAATATGAAATATTACAGAAATTATAAATGAATAACCAACCTAAAATAAACCTTAAATTCCAGGATCGTTTAAAAAGCCAACAATAATAAAATATTACCACGTGCAATAATAAAATATGACCATGTGCTGTATTGCATTTATATATAAGATGATACCAAAGTAATGAAACCTAATTTACAAGCACAGAATAGAAATAGATAGATAATTATATGTAATATAATTTACATATATATATATATATGTGTGTGTGTGTGTGTGTGTGTATTGTACAGTATTTATTATTATAAATATTATTATTATAAATATTATCATTATAAATATATAAATATTATTATTATTATTATTTATGCTTTCGTTGTTGGAATACTCCATGTATATATATATATAGGAACGAGGTTTTCAGAAACAGCGCTGTTTCGGCGTAATGCCATCTTCAGAGCCTAAATATTGTTTAAACATATAATTTAATTAAAGTAAATGCCTAATGTAAAATGTGAAAATATAGAAAATAAAATATGTATTAAATTGTGAAATAAATTAACCTTGTTGTAAATATCATAATAACTAAAGTTTATGTAGATTATATAAATAAAATAATGTAATTTAAATAAAATGTTTAGTAAAATAATTAAAATATAGAAATTTTATAAAAGTTTTAACATGGTTGAGAAACGTTAGTGAAAACTAATTACGAATGACATGTGCGCCAGATATATAATATTGCTGTGTATGCGTTGTGAATATTATTTTTAATAGTTTTAGATAAATATGAACTCAAACAATACCGCCTCGTTGAATGTCTTATAAAGAAGTTAATTAATGCAAAATGGGCAAACAATTTCAATGAAATTTGCATATATATATATATATATATATATATATATATATATATATATATGTATTGTACAGTATTGTACACACACACACGCACACGCACACACATTTATTCATTTTTTCGAGTGTTCGTTCATTCCTTTTTTTACGCATTTATTCACTCAAATTTTGCGACCGTCGTCGTCATCATCATCATCATCGTCATCGTCATCATCATCGTCATCGTCATCAGTGTCAATCGTCACTAATGGTAACGATATGTATGTGTGTGTGTGTGTGAGTGTGTGTGTGTGTGTGTGTGCGTATGATATGTATGTGTTGTGTATGTGTGTGTGTGTGTGTGCGCGCGCGTGTGTGTGTGTGTGTGTGTGTGTGGTGTGTGTGTGTATATACAAACTCATCGTTGTACAAACTCATATTATATTTATGGTGTAATATATAACACATAAGTATCACATTACAACAATAGATATTGTAAGAAATTTTATTATTTTTGCATATTTAGCATGTAATGACAATTTTGAAAAAGCGGGAGCCTACATGTGCCTATATGTGCGTGTATGTGTGTGTGTGCGTGTGTGTGCGTGTCGATCTGTGTGTGTGTGTTTTAGCGATAAATTTATTTGAATTTTTTCCTAATATATATATATATATTTATTTATTTATTTATATATATAGTTATTAAAGCTATGTGTGTGGCTTTTTGTATGTACGTATATAGGTACGTATGTAAATATATGCCTGTGTGTGTTTATTATTTCGTGTGTGTTCGTTAGCGTGTGTGTGTTTGTTAGCGTGTGTGTTTGTTTGCATATTGTTATTGTGTATAGTCTATAAACTAGTGGAACTTTCAGGCGGTACCAAGTTGAATTGGTCTCGATAAATTTTTATTACATGATTATGTTGGGTGTGCGTGTGTGTATGGTTATGTTTGTATATGTGTGTGTGTGTGTGAGTGTATGTTTATGTTTGTGTGTGTGTA